TACTGGTTTAAAAAAATTAAGATTAAAGTTAATTAATCAATCTTTAAGGCATAAAATTTGGTAAATGTTATTATTAATAAAATAATTTGTTTTATTTATGTTGTTTTATTTATTCCTGCGGAATATTACAAATTTGTATTTGTACATAAGTTATATTGATAAATATAATCATAAATGCGGGAAGTTTCATAAAGCTTGAAAGTAAGAAATAGTTCTTTTTTATATTTTTTTTGTATGTGGCGTCTTGTTCTTGTTTGTTTTGTATTAACACATACCGTTTTTTATTAAATAAAATAACTCGATTACATTTTTCCAGTTTTATACAGTTTTAGGTTTTTTTCACAATATTTTGAAGTAATCACTTGTCCTTGTCAGTCAAATTTTAAATATATTAAAATATTAATTTCCGGCTATGCGTTCCAGTTGTACCAACTTACTTCTTTGTAAAATAAAATAAACTGCTTTGAAATTAAAATGACAGACACATCTATCACTGTCAAGGATCTTCTCGTTGGACAGACTATAGCTCTTAGACTCTAAGTAAAACAGCGAAATCGTTATTGAAATGAAAATATAAAATGACACCAATCACAAAAAAATCGTATATCCCATGAAAATGTAATAATTTAAAAACTGCGTAATTTTCTAACCAATCGAAGTCTTTAAATTCAACCAATAAAATTAATAATCATAGTATCATCGGGCAATGGATGCATGAAAATCAAGCTTTAGGCGGTACGATTTTTTTTTCATCATTAGACTGAAAAGCATTAATTCCATCATTATCTAAGGCGTATACTCTCTATTAATAATGGTAAATACACATCAAAATATTAAACCTGAAATATCTTAAACACGTACGCATCGCGACCTGAAGCTAGTACCGAGGTACTGTTAGACCAATTATTAAAAAAAGAACGGCTTATCTGATGCGTTCGAGGCTTTTAGGCCCCAGTTCACTGGCAATGGGAATAAACGATGTACAATATAATTACATATTACAATGGCAACGAATATACTAAATGGACCATTATTACCAAAGTGGAGAACCGTGCTCGGGAGAGAGATAAAACGTTCGAGAGTTATTATTTTCTTCTTCTATTTGTCGATCATTGTTCTAGATAATAAAAAGTATGAGACTTCGTTTTGCCGAAGAAGAGACAATAGTTTGGGTTGTTTTTCAAAATTCGATCTAATAGATGGTTTGTTTTGGGGTTAAGTGTTTTTCGTCTAGGTCGTATGGCATCATTTAAATATATATGATTTATAAATATTATATGGAAATATAAGATTAAGAGTCTATTACTCTGTACTTTCGGGTTGCTCTCAGGGGTCGGGTAAAGCGAATATGTGGCCGAAGGAAATATATATTATATTTCAGAAATCTGCCTAAGGCTTAGCCCGATCCTGTTGTGTTAAGCCACACCCAAAATTCCCAATACACGTGCTTTGACTAAGTGTGCGAACACAGTGCAAGCAGGTTTGCCGCTTTCTGGTAGCCAGCGCCAATCTGGGTACCTATTCTTGATATCGTTCGCAACTTTGCGTATACGCATCACGTGTATTGTTATAAACAGGGTATCCCAGAAATAAGTGCAAGTATTTTAAAGGGTGGTAGATCTCGATAAAAGAAACATATTTTTTCTTTATCGTTTTTCAAATAAGTCCAAAATAACGGAGTTATTTTACTTTGAAATTTTCCAAAAAAAAAAGATTTTTTGCTAAAATTTTGAGCACCTTCTTCATGTGCCTTCTCCTCATCGAAGGTTGGCTACCATCAATTGGAATTCCTCCCTGTCTTGAGCCAAACGGATAATTGCACTTGCCTCTCCTATATTAAACCACTGGCGCAAATTCCGCAAGCAGGAAAACCGTTTACGCCTGATGCCTCGTCGTCCTTCAATCTTTCCCTCAACGATCAGCTGTAGGAAACTATATTTGTTATTTCGAAAAATATGATCAAAATATGCTGCTTTCCGTCGTTTTATTGTAGTCTTTGGTCCTTACATATTCTTTCCAATACTCCGAGAGATTTGTTTGAGAACCACTGGATCTTTTCTGGATTTTCTTCTTATAAATTTAATCTACTACCTATGTTGCCATATTATCAAGAAATTATTTTTAAATAAAAACTAAAAAAATTGCAAAAAAATCAAAAAATATTTTCAAAAAATTCCGAATTTAAAAAAAAAATTATTTAGAAAAAACCTCATAGGCATGTTTCTGGGGTTGAACTATACTACCAGTTAAGTTAAAATACTTGCACGTATTTCCGGGACACCCTGTATATGGTTACATAGTAGCGCCGCGCCGCGCCAGCTCGCGCTTATAACCTTGAAAAATTAAAGCGTGTTATCAAATCGGCTAGTTCACAGTGAAAGCAGATAGGAGCCGTCAACCAGCGTTCATCGGCGTTCTCGCTTTTACCGGAACGAAAATTTATTTATTTCTGCTTTGCAGCCGACGGCGCACAGAGGGTATTAAGAACTAAAAGTTGGCCAAAATTATGTTTTATGATTTTTTGCTTTTTTGCTAGTAATATTAATTATTAGAGGAGAGGGTGCTAATATGGAACCTCATTTTGTTTTTCCTACACAATATTTTTTTCCTCTACTCTGAAAACCCTTTCCACCGATCAAATAGGGCCATTCTGTGCAAAACCAAGCAATTGGATGAGGATGCTAGAACAAGAAAGTAATTTGTATATTATCGACGATATTTGAGCGAGGATGGGTGTTATAGGGTAAAGACTATTTTCTTTAAGAATCTATTTAAATCAATGTTTTTTGGCAGTGGCAAATATTGGCAAGATTTTTGTACATATTCCAACGCTGGAGACTTTAAGCATTGAACGGATACTAATTTCAATGCGGAATATTGCCGAATAGTCTTACACCTTATAAAAATCCCTCTGATTTTTTAAATATAAAACATTATAAAGAAATAGAATAGAAGGAAACGTTTCAAAAAAATATGGCATAAAACAGGACTTGCCAGCTGGCTCTGTATCCATCATGACAGTTATTATAAACAATTTGCAAAAAAGCACTACAAAAATTCCACTATTTTATAATCTTAGAAATATTCAGAATACACTCAAGATAATTCGTACTTATAATTGAAATATATTATTTATTTGATAGTCAACTTACGACTTAAAAAAGCTAATAAACGTGCTTACATTTAGTATTTATAGATTTGTATTCAGTTAAAATAAAAATGAAAATAAAAAAATATCACTTTTGGCCAGGTTTATAGACCAAATACCCCTATGTGTGGCCTCCTGGCGCGGCGGGCGCGGCGATTCAATATGGTTAGGTTAGGTTAGGTTAGTTAATCAGGTAAATTTCCTCTTAATTAGCTACTTTCCGAACCCAGCTCGCATCTCCGAAAAAGCCATATAACAATACACGTGATGCATATACGCAAAGTTACGCATCACGTGTATTGTTATATGGCTTTTTCGGAGATGCGAGATGTGAGCCATATTTGAAGATGCGAGTGATCAAGAATAGGCGCCCAGAGACGGCGCTGGCTGCCGGAAAGCAGAAACCTGCCTCCACTATGTTCGCACCCTAAGGTTTGATTAAGGTTTGCAGAGCTTCAGAATTTGCCATAAAATAGCGAGCAATTTGTTAAAAAATCATATAAATTTATATATCACTGTAATCACAAAACTTCAATCTATTTTTGTTTAAAATATATTATAATTATAAAAAAACAATAAAATATCAGGCTATTACAAATGTCCACTATTAGATAAATTATATTATCATGTTTATAATGATACTTTAATTACATTTTTAGATCTACATATTATTTTCCTTCGTGCACACCGCAGAAGACTGTAATGACGCTATCGTTACCATGGCGTTGTTATTACCATTTACCTTTAAGAATTTTGTTTCGGTATTAAATATCGTTTAATGATCATTAATCACGAAATCGAGGAATTTTATATTAATCACTTAAAGAAATACATACACGGTTTTTATTGACGGTACAAAAAACTACCTTAGGAGAAATTACCATCACCAAAGAAATTTGCATTGGAAGAGTATTTTATGAATGTATGTACAACGTAAAGAATTAGGGGACTCGCCTGGATATGCCTGGGGGCTCTGGTAGAAAGGAGCAGGAATAAATTACTCTGGGTACCGGGCCAGAGCGGCATCCAAGGCAATGAATGATGAATTAGCAAGACAAGGATTATTGGAATCTTATCTTGGTCCAGAGCCAGTACTGGGAATACCCAAATATATAAACCGTAGTACAGCAAAACACTAGATCAGGAAAAAGCAGAATGTCCACTAGAGAAACAGATAGGGGCACAGGCATCGCGGGGCCTTCTTCAAGAACCTAATTCTAAAATAATAAAAGAACTGCTAATGCTAGTACTAGCTACTAACTTTTAAATTAATTAACGTTCAGGCATATTTTTTATTGATCCCATCAGGTGGATGACACTTCTTATGGGAGAACTGGCA